AAATGACCAAGCCCCCATTCCTCCACATCCACGAAATTGGACCCAGAGCAATTTGGGAGAATAAAAGCATCGAATTTAGATATCGAAAGGCTCTCAAGATTCATTTTATAGGCCAAGTACGGATTCAGTCACCTTTACGACGCTATGAATGGAGTTGAATGCATGGTGCATCCCTAAGGGATAAATCAACGCCGAATGCTTTATACGTCATTCTTCGTTCTGCAGTGGGAAGCCAAGAAAGATACAAGTAAGCGGAGAATACTGGAGCATTTTTAAAAAATGGTCGATGTAATGTTGTCGAGTTCGTCACTGGATAGCGATCAATATTTAGACATAAAACCACATCACAGATTCATCAAAGAAAGGAAGAATTCTGTCATACAAAATTTAGAACTTCTTCATGAACGCTCCTAGTTCATAGATGTGAAAGACGGAAAGACAGGTACTTTGCAAATTTCTTTGCGATCACAGCGAATTTAGGAGGATTGCATCAGTTGTGGCTAACGAGCTCACCACCACACCATGCTGGTCCTTCTTTTCGCCTGTTTCGCAACTAGTTCTATCGGTCAGAAATCGGAAACGATAATAGCGCGTTCGTTCCCACCGCAGACACCTGTGGTATGGTGTTCTGCAATTATCTCAGCATCAATGAAGTAATATTTCGCAACATACCCTGCTATTAAAAAGAGTGGGCAGCAAATAAAACGGTTAAGATTGTGATTATAACTAAGCCTCAGCTTAACTGGGTTCATTGCCGATTTAGGCTCCCAGATCAATACCGCTGACGAGCGATTGCTGATGGCACTGATCAATGGAAATAGCTGAGAGACATGCGAAGCGAAGAACTCGCATGGTGTGTTGGTGAACGTGTTAGACCCCGGAAAGGATAATATTGCGTTCGTTTCTCACCGCAGACACCTGCGGTCCAGAGTTTTTCAAATATCTCAGCACCGTTGTTATTGTATTTCGCCTAATACCCTGCCATTAAAAAGAGTAAGCAGTAAATAACAAATTAAAACTGTCACAATGAGAATAATTATCGTTTAGCACCAACGTTATAACAGAACAAAGGATCTAAAAAAGAAAGGAAGGTTGTGAAAAGTTGGAGTATGTCGGACAAATATTGCTAACTGATAAGCATCACACAAGAATTTGGTCATCAATGCCGAAATACAAGTAGAAAGTCGGAATACAAATGAATATTTATCGATTGTAAACACCATTGTCTTCTGCGTAGGGATAGCATTCAACATCGTAAGCGACCGGAGTGGTCGAGCTGCGACGATACCACGATGAATTATGTATTAGCCGGCAGCAGGATATCACACGAAACATGTATGTAGATGAAGAAATTAATTTCGAGAGACGAAATGAGATCAAAAGATTAGAATAGTAGTGCCGACAACGATGGCACTTTAGCTATAAAAAAGGTCTCGGCGTTGATCAATGCCTGAGGGATACGCCATGCATTCGACTTCATTAAGTATCGGTAGAGGTGATTGAGTGCATATTTTGCCTTTACAATGGCTCGTGGTGGCCTACCGATGTATCGAGCCAGTTCTGCTACCCTCCCAAACAAGTCTCGTACCAATTTGCCGACCCCGGAAATGTGGAAGGTTTGGTGGTCCGTGGGCGCAGAGATCGTTTCGTGTGTGTCGCAATGGCGTCTCCAACCACTGCGCCACACGCGCCCTCTTACTTCGCCGATTATGTCATTAAGTTTTTAAAAGACGCCACGTAAATTAAATGATGCCCACATAAATGACCAACATTATTGGTTTTATCACTTTTTAGTGCAGACGAAATCTAAAGAGGGGCGTGTAGCGCACGACTACAGGTACCCTGCAATCCACAAGTCGGCTCCGTCCTGTCCGAAGTCGTCAAAAGGTAGTAAAAATATTTTTGACAATAAAAAACACTGAGTTGGTACATCATCTATAGCTTCCACAAGTTATTGTATTAGGTAAAAATTCATTCTATCAGCTTTACAATGCTACGAACAGAGTGAAATGCATTACGCGCTCATTAGGGATTGATCCACTCGAGACGCTCTACCCTTCTTATCATCATCCGGTCTTACATTTTGTGCATCCACATTCATGTCTAGTCACATACATCGATGCTGAAGACCAACAAAAACAGTAAAGTGTATTCTTTCTTTGATGAGCTTACACGAGGTTGATAATGATGTTTATTTTCGGCTAACGTTTCGACGCCTTCGTCTTCCTCAGAGCCGATGATCCGAGTCGATGGTCCATGCTTGTTATTCGCGACGTGGCAGCTTCGCCTTCGTGTCGAGTCAGATCTTCCTCAGTGAGCCATCTCCTCGAATGAGGCATCCTCACTCAGTGATGCCCTTTTATACACGATGCTGATGGTCGATATAATGATGATGTCCGGTGATAACAACTTGTTTTTCTTCCGGACATACATCATTGCGCACATCGTGCAGAAGTCGGTGTTGTTATCAGCTAGCACAGCGTAGTAATATTTCGAAACCGACTTTTCTTGAACCTCGGTATCACTAATCAATATGTATTCTTTCTTTGATGAGCTTACACGAGGTTGATAATGATATTTATCAACCGATAATAAAGATAATCAACCGATATAATGATACAGTAAAGTGTGTAATAATGTATAGGACCGAGTTTCTCAAAACATCAACATTGATCGATAACAGAGGATGAAAGATAAGTCAAAGAATAACGAGAACGAACTGAGGGCAGGAATGCCCTGTAATGACGTATGACTGCTCCCCATGCCCCAGGCCGCATTTCTTGACCAGCGACCGGTACATTGTTTATCCATGTAAATTCTAGGCGAGCTGCCTTCCTCATAAGTGGGAAACAGATAAAAAACTGCGAATTTTCTAAAGAAGCTGTTCCTCATGCGTATGAAATAGGTTTTAAGTTTTTCACCATTATGAAATATGTTACCACAGTGATAATGATGCCGTTGATCACGATCATGATACCGGACCGGTCTCACATTAGGCTCACTAGGGTTCCCATCCCTCCGGAGTTAGCAAATTGGTACCCATCCTAGGTGGGTACCCTGGATAGTAGGTACCCTGGACTTGTCTAGGCACACCTCACTTCCTCAAATTTAGGCAAGGACGTCTCTTCCATGATTCGAACAAGAAGTGACTCGAGCACTATTCAGTGATATTTATGAATGAAAAAAATCTCCAAGTAGCAACCGAATCCACTCATGAAAAATTTGAAGCTTTTCGTCGAAGATGGATGCCAAACGAATCGAGTGCAAAAAGTGTTGGAATCGGACAGTAGATGCGAAGATGAGTTATGTAGAAAAAGAAATGTATAGCATTTGCGCGTTTTGAGTTTGATGCTTGACTAGTTTGACGTGAACTGTAACACCCACGTGGTTTCCAGCATGATCCAGAGCACTAGTGTTAGATTTGTTCCGGAGGATAAAAATACTGACGTGATACATCCATAATAATGCTGCGAGCGAAACTCGGAACGTCAGTTGGGCTTCGAATTGGCGATTACGCTTTCAGGTCGCTCCACCAGACCAACCAAGGCCCTTACTTTAGCTTTCTCTAAACCGGTTTCAGTCATGAGTCCCGGATAGGGTAACCACAGGTTCGAAGTCCAACTGAGGTTTAGAGTTTTGCTTATATCTCAGAATCCTTGTTATTGTATTTCATATACATGGTGCATCCTTCAAGGATTGATCAAAACCAAACGCTTTTTGCTCTTCAACCTTTTACTGTCACGGTTATAGAGGTACTAGGCTGAGTAGATTTTTTACGCATCGCAAGCTCTTAATACCTCTAAATTTGCTGAAAATGTGGAATAGATAACGTATTAACAATCTCGTGTTAAAGTAAAAAGTGATGAATGGTGTGGTGGAAGGTACCATATGATACAACCACATTGTATGTACTTAGTGTAAACTTTGTAGCACATCAGACATTCACTGCAATAGATGGAGGAGAAGAAAAGAAGTGTGGATCGATCCTACGTGGTTGGAAGCACTCACTAAGTCTACTACCTAAACGATAAGGAAACAAGTTTATGAGTTGCTTCAGGCAGTTGTATTTATTCCGAATTTAAAGCGATTTATGGAATGTCACGAAATGGAAAATCACGGAGTGGTCGTAGAAGTGGCCCGGCTGGAAGACCATCATCAAGGACGAAGATCACCTAGCGAATGAAAGGTGTTGACAATTTGTTGGTTGACGTTTGTATTACCATCTTTGAGGACGTAGTCGTTGTCAATTATGTGATTGACCGTTATCAAAACAGATTTTAACTCTGGTTGTACTAGTTATGATTATTGCTCACTACTAGTCTTATCAAAAATACAGTGAAGAAAATTCTGTAAGTTTAAGTGGACGAATCAACCCATTAGCGAGGAAGAGGAAAAACTCATAAGAAAATGCCTTCAATGATGCAGAATGGTAGACACAAGTGGAGCAGCATGAAACGAACATTTGCGATTTAACCTCATGGTAGGCATTTTTGCACCATTGAACTTCGTAATCCTTGGAGTTTGCTATCTTAAACATAAACGAAAAGCCGCCTCCACTGGTTCGCTTTGGCCACTATAGCTCCATTGCATCAAGCTTGGTCTCGCTGAATTCATCAGTAGCCCAAGAACTTTTACCGCGTTTTTATCTTCTTGTCGTTGTCTTTTCGGGTTAACATTTCAAGGAAACTTGGCCTAAACTTGGTCGTAATTTGGCCTACCATGTTTCTCTTCGTATTTCTGCTTCGATTTTCCAACGGCAGCAAAATTGCGCAACCATTGAGGGGAAGCGATTTCATGAATTGCCATAAAAACCGGGAGATGAAAAAATGGCGCTTCCGTTACCCGGTCCAGCACGAAATTTTCCCCCGATAGTTAAAATGCGAAAAATATGTTTGTGTTTGGAAATGGTGATGGTGATCAATGAGCCGAAACTCCCATCATCTCCGCGATCCTCACATCCAGATGAACTGGCCGATAGAGTGACAAGACTTATTGGGAATTCAGACGAACCGAAGACGTTGAGAGAAGAGTGAGCCGAAAAAAATCCACATTACGATGAAGAGCTTAGGGCTTTTGAGATTTGAACTTGAGAGATGAGAGCTTTTCTCGAACTTATCATACCTTAATAGAAGAACTCATTGAAGTGAAGCAAGACAATATTATGTAGGAATGAATGCTTTTAAAAAAAGCTAGTTCTATGCGAATAAGTAAATCGCAAGTTTGAAACAGACGTTAGAAAAGAACAGCTTGAAAAATGAATAGAATATTTGGCGCAGATGTGATACAGAAGTGCTGAGTGGTGTAGAATACAGCTGTAATGAGGATGAAAAGAGTAAGAAAGAAAAAAGACGGGAAGAACCGAAAAAAAGTGATAAGCCATACAAGTAATTCTGTAATTTTATCACGTGATGCTTATTAAGCCCTTGTTATTTTTCCCTATTATTTCTTGTTTGTGCTGAAAGTAGAGTGATACAAACCGATTGTTTTCGAGTTCTCGAAAAATAGGTTACGTTTCCAATAAACCAATATGGCTATAGATTTCCATCAACATAATTATAAATAGTAGTTGATAGTCAGCAGCGGGCAAAACATCCATTATGGTAGCACAGGGACTCAGGAGCCGTTTTCATTGTTTCTCATTGAGAACGTGCTGATTACGGCTTCAATTCATTGAATTATGGAGTTCTAGGATTCTTGAGATCCCTGGAATCTTAGGAATCTTTAAAATCCTTGGAATATGTAAGATTTTAAGACCTTTTGGATTTCTAGCGTCCTTAGGATCCTCGGCATGACAAGAGTTTAAGCTCTCATTAGTGAAAAGTGCGAGGAGAACACTAAATAATGTGCATAATCGAAAATGAATACGATTAGAACGTTCGAGTGCTTCCTTCCTTCCTCCAAAAACAACCTTTTTCTGGGAATGAGAAATAAAATAAGCATTTTTAAAGAAAATAAGCTTTATTGGAAAGGTCTTAGTAATATTATCTAGAATAAAGCCATTTATGCAGCATAATGACTGAGAAAAAACACTTTCACTTGGAGAGTTTAGGATTTGAAACACAAAGCCTGGAATTTAAAGATTTTGTCCAGACCTTCAAACACAAATATGGTTTTCCTTAGCGAAAAACACTTTATAAATCGTTAATTTATTCATAAATTTGGTCCGGAAGAGTTCCCATCCGTAGACCAAACGGTGAAACATAAAATAAAACGAAAAAGATTTAAAGCTGTTTAAACTCACTGAATGTAGAATAGTCGTTGATCATCCATCAAACACGTGTCACACTCCTTAGGGATAGCTGGATCGTGATCGTTATAACTGCTGTTATGGCCGCTTGCAAGCGATGAATCGTCCAGTATTTCCTTGCCATCGGCTGTACCTTCGTATGAGGTTGGTCCATCTTCGTCGGTAAATGAAAACCTGCACAAAGTTGTCAGCTCTCTATTCACTATTCTACAAGAGCTGCTATCGTATTCAGCATTAAAAGACCTTTCCGGAGTGTACGGCATTACACTGTGTTCGGACGAATTTGTGGGAACCCTGCCGGTCGTCGTTGTCGCGCCGAATTCCATGCCGATGACACCGCTGCTGTTGTTGGCGATAGTGGTCGTCTGGGCGTTCGTACCCTTAAGGCGATGTTGAATGCCCTCCACCTACATGTCTACTGGTTGGTTGTATGACGTCTCTTTGACTAATACGCTCATCTGCATAACACCTTCCATTCACTCCTCGTTATCCACACTCTCTCTACAATTCCCTCATCGTCTCCACCTCCTAATCCTCAGAGCGACATTGCTTTCAGCTTGAAGCACAAAGCATTTCACATGGCAGCACATACATACATACACACACGCACACACACACACACACGCATGCATAAACATGTGTACCACACAGAGTACACAAACAGACACACGCATAGACATCTTATCCGTAGAGAAAAATGAACAACTCGTTCGACATCATTTTCGGCAGCAAGAATTCCGAAACGGGCCGTAGATGACTGGCTACAACAAAGTGTTTCGTGTGAACTCATTAGCCTGGCTTGTTTTTTCTTCTTTAATGACTTTCGCCATCCGAATGCTGTTCAACGCACTCAATCACATCAATGAAATAAATCAGATGTGGGGCTGGTCGAACGCGTTTTCTTCTATTGTTCTCATCTATTCATCCACTTCGCTATGATTCACACGTGGTCCTAAACGTACAAAAATGAAAGATCAGTACGAATATTTTCTGGACTCGAAAATGCTAACAAGTGACTAACGGAAAGTAAGTCCGAAGTTTTAGGATTTCATTTTGCTTCAAGGCATTCTTTAAAGAGAATGGAAAATCGTAGTAACTCATCTCTCCGGGTCGGCAAATTGGTACCAGACTTGTGCAGAAGGATAGTTTTACTCGTCTGACACATCAGGTAGCTCTCCATAAGTAATTATGTATGTCGAATATGCATTCGACAACCTCTACGATGCTCGTTGAAGCCGAAATCGGACGCATGGCGCATTCTTTAAGGATTAACTAACAACGGGAGATTAATTCCTTGTTTGTTTATTCTTTATTGTCGCTAAAGTCAAAATATCGAAGGAGATAGTATCGCATGAATGGCGTACTTATTCTTCAGGGAGTGCCTATGCTATCAACCGATGGTGTAAAACGATGTGTTATGGATGGCTAAGCCGTTCGCCTCTGTGCTTCAGTACTATGTTTCCTAATCTTTCCTTGCTGGAAAATTTCACCAAGTATTCGAAAATTCTTCATGGTGGAAGACACTTCCTTCTGCATGCGTTGAATTTCCGCATTCACGGACTACCGCTGAAAAATTTATGAGAATTAGTCAACTCGATTCGAGCCGCTTTTCACGAGAAATCTCTAACTCAATTAGCACTAGTTGTACTCGTATATTATATTAGTGCAAATTTTCTTCAGTTCTGCTAGTTTGAGTTTTGGAACCAACAGCGGGGTAAGCTTTGGTTTTTTCAACATCGCGTCCCCTATTATCAGAGATTGTGTGAAACACCGCTATTATCACGGAAACCAATGAGTTCTGGCTCATGATGAGGGCCCAAATAGACAACGACGACTTTCGACGAAAAGGAAATTCTCACATTAATTGCCACCCAAAGCTGAGCTCTCCTTCAATGATATGAATAATTAACCCTTGCAAATGAAGAAATGCAGTCATGCAGTTCTTCGACATCAAGATGCTTCTTCTCTATTTAATAACCCAATGATATTTAGCATTAAAAATCACACTGTGCACTAAGACTGTGGAAAATTTTGGCTAAAATTGTTTTCATTGTGACATATTCGAAAATGAATAGCAGCCCATCTATTTACATAGTGCAACATAACACAAAGCATATGCATTGATTGACGCCCATATCTGATCAGTGAATACTTTTTCAGAGTCTAAGAGTATTCTTAACACTCATTTGAGCAAATATTGTTTATAATAAAGAGTTTTGTTTTACTAATAATAAACTTATATAATGCTAACAATGCCGAGGCCCACCGGTGTACAAGCAGTGTTCTTATCCTCTTAGACAGTTCTGGCACAGATTTGCCAAACCCATGGGGATGAAGAGTTTGGTTATTCCGGGATGTGACATTGAACCAACGACCGTGTGTGTGTGTGTTATTCGGCTAATGAACCACTATGCTATCTAAATCCACGTTTTTTTTTTTTCGCAATTTCGGCTTTTCAGTGGATTTCGCATTCAACAGAGCTTGAGCGGGTACGAAACTGAGTCAAACTGTCAAATAATATACTTCAAAAAGTCTTGAATACAAAGTGCTTTGTGAGACCCTATAACACGTATGTTGACAGGATTTGTACGCTAATGCGTTGTTGAACAGAAACACTGTAGAAAGGATAATTTTCCAACTCTTACATGATGCGTTCCCTACAATACGCGTTGGTATCAATGCACATAGCCCAAAAAATAACCTCATCTTCCGACGCTGAACAAAAATATTTCGGCCTACGGAGACCTGTATAGTAAAAAAACCATTAGAATTCACAGTTCTAAGGAGGTTCTAGCAAGGTGAAAGTTCCATTCTGTCCTATCGAGTTGGAACCAACAGAATTTCGTCCAGATGAAGATGATAACGTCCTAAAAAAATCGTCGATGTTGGCGATGTCAAATATCCCTATCCTCGACCACCAATGTGTTAGATCGTAGTTTCATGCCAGACATTAATAGGATGCAAAGCTCAAAATTTGAGGCTCTTCAACATAACCGCTTTTTACTAAAGTCTCTCATTTCCCAACGACACTTCTAGAGAAAATGGTGTTCGTCCAGATGGTGGTATGGACGTCTTAAAGCGAAGAATTTTTCGTGTGATTATTGGTTTTCGTTTTGCAATGTTTTTTCCCCCTTCATTGGCTCCTTCAATCGTTTTTCTTTTGGAAGCACTATCTGAACCTGTCATTATTTTAATTGTTTCCTATTAATACTGGCATCTCGTCAAAGTTAAACGATAAAATACTTCACTCAGCCTTGATAAATCGGTTAGGGATTTGCTATGGATTAAACTCAAACAAGCATACGAATGAACCAAATCCATCTCATAGCGAGCTGACGATGTATCACCTCAGGGTTTCTGTTCTGCTCATTTTTTTAGACAAGTCTGATGTCAATTTACTGTGGAGATGGCGGACTTTCTCAACTCAGCGGGCTGGATTCATTGGTAATTCGCTTTTGAACACGATTACTATGGGTTCTCTGTAATGACAAATGTTTATACACACAAAGCTTGACATTTCAACCAAAGAAGGTAGCCTTTGGTTCATTCCAGCAATACTGGATGCAAGCTGTGCAATGGATCCAAGTAAAGCCATCATTGTGGGTGACGGAAGAGATGGTATTGCATTAAGTGTACTCCGTTTCTAATAGATGAGAATAGAAAATTGTGCTCCGGAATTGCTTCGACGACGACTTGAGAATTTGTTTGTTAATTAGATTCCACAAAATGAAGTGCGTACTTCTTATCCTGTATAAATTTTCTATGAAAGGACGTCCAATAAGCGCAAGCAGAAAGCATTTCCAAGAACTAGACGTTAAACGTTAGATCTTCTTGAATTTGAAACCGCCACACCAAATCCAATTAAGTGGCGCAGCAGAATAACGGATATCACTAAGTATCCAACAGTCTTTTTCTTACATTCTCAAAAACACGTATGTTTAACGGTTATTGATCGGTATCTACGTTATCAGTTACGATTCTCGTGAAATACAACATAACAATCGCCGCAACTAAAAGAATCATGCGAAAAACGAACATAAAGCTCTCAGGGTGTTGAGATATGAGCAAAACTCGGAGCAACTGTTGTGCCTCGAACCCGCAATTACCTTCACCGAATGCTCACGCTCTATAAATCACACCAACACAGTTCCTTGATTTCCTTATAGGCAGTGCGTGAGAGTCAAATCACTGTGAAATCGACTGCAGCTTCAGCCTAACTGGGTTAAATGGCCATTTATTCCGCCCAGATTCCTCTTGTTAGATAGTTCCTGATGGCACTGTAGCGTAGAAAACCTGCTGAGCGAAACATAAAGCAAGGGTCTCGTTTGGTGCAATGAGAAGCAGGTGGGCCTTCGGAAAGAGTAATCGCGGGTATAATGCCAAGCCGAAGTTCTGAGTTTCGCTCGTATCTTAGCATCCCTGTGGTTGGACTTCACATCATACCATGCCATGAAAAAATAATAGGCAGTAGGAAAAAGCTGGGACACAAAGTACCGGATTTTGGTAGGTTTTAAAAATTACTTCATTGTCTTAACCCTTTTATTTACTGCCTTTTTCTTTTTAATGGCAGGGTATGTTGCGAAATATAACTCGTATATAATGCTGAGATATTTGCAAAACTCCGGACCGCAGGTGTATGCGGTAGGGAACGAACGCGTGCTATTGTCCTTTGGTGGTGAAGTGCGCTACTCCACGGAAAGGACAATAGCGCGCGTTCGTTCCCCACCGCATACACCTGCGGTCCGGAGTTTTGCAAATATCTCAGCATTATATACGAGTTGTGCTTCACTGTTTGTGGACATTTGTGGACAAAGGACATTTGTGAATGTAGTGAGAACATTATAGATCATCTTTACTAAAAGCTTTCCGAACAGTATAGGAAACCTTATATTTTAATTGATTTTTGAACTTTGAAGCACTTGGACTACGCAGTATAGACTTAGAGCCTTCCAAGTTTAGCTGTCCTAGTTTTCAAATGTCAATTCCATTGTGTATTTAAAAGTTTCTTGTCTTGCGGTTCATAGTTCACGATGCCGAATTGGGATTTATAACGGAAGACTCATTTTTGCTTGGGAATACTACAGCCGTTCTGCTAGAAAACCAAAGACGAGGTGATAAACATCGCTGTGATCGTTGGTGTTAAACGACGGAGAGGCGAAGGATTTAACTGCCTCATAACCTTGAATATCTAATAGTTGATTGTTCATTTAAGAAGAAAATCCCTAATACTTGCGGCTTTACTGCGGCGACAAAGTTTATCAAGCACCACGAATAATAGATGTGCCACCAAACTTATTTTAGCGACGAAAATTGTTCCAAATGAGGATCTCATGAATCGAGTACTTCAACGGAAATTCGGTAAAAGTGTAGCAGTCTAAGTGAGTTAATTACCACACACTCAATGCCG